CCACAGGCCTGTGGAGCGATATTTTCTCTCCAGTTTCCTAGCAATTTGCTTTAAAGTGCGCAGCTCTGCATTAAACCAAGGAGCCAGCTTTCTATTTTTAACGGTTTTCATTTTTAAAGGAGCTGCGTTGTCTAAGGCAGTACGCAGAGAACTAGCAACCCCATCAACAAAATCATCAACCTGTGAAGGGGAATAAGCTAAGCTTTTGCACTCTGCAGCACTGCTCAGCGACAAAGATAAAGATAAAGATATGCTAAAGTGAAACCTTCTTTTGGGGGAGGAGAACTCTGTTAAAGTAATCCTGTTGGTTATTAAAAAGTGGTCAGAGAGGACAGGGTTCTGAGGAAATACTGTTATTTCTTCACATTCTATGCCATAAGCACAAGATCCAAAGTATGAAGATGAGAATGTGTGGGACTATTCAAATTTTGAACAAAGCTAATAGCATCTAAGATAGCATTAAAGGCTGCTTTTAAGCTATTGCCTTCAATGTCAGCATAGATGTTAATTCAGACGGAAATAGTCTGGACAGCAACAACGCTGCTCAACAGTCCAAACAGGAAGTGAAAACGATATGTCTTACCAAAAGCAGCAGTAGCACCCACTAGTGGCAGGATAGCATAACTTCAAAGGGGCATGTGACCTAAACCACTTTGACGAGGGAGTTAACGACCCATCAGATCCCCTAATGACCATCCCCCCCAAGTGGCCTCCATGGCCCACGCAGTAGGAGAGATCAGACCCACGTGTTGCCCCCCCTAATTCTATGTTCCACCAACCGTACATTAATCTCATTGCTCCCCATCACTTGTTAGAAATGAAGAAACTGCTTGGATGAAATGTCTTCTAGAAAACTTCACGTCCAGTTGTCTAAACTGAACTTTCCAAGCTTGACATAGCTCAGATGATTCAGAAGGAGGTTCCTGTAGGCTACTCTGATGGAAGGCTATGGTGTGTGTAAGCGGTCAGCTGTGTTCTCACCCTGTAGTAATCAGTGCTGTAAATGTCTCTTGACATTCCAAAATCGCCTATCTTCACCAGAAGGCCGTTCCCCACCAAGCAATTCCTTGTTGCGAGATCACGGTGGACAAAGTGTTGGGAGGCCAAGTAGATCATCCCAGCCGCGATCTGACTGGCGATGTGAAGCATCTGGGACAGACCCAGCTCCCCGTTGGTCTGAAGAGGCAGCCCATCCACCAGGATGGTGGCGTCTGGTCCGTGGGCTCTGAGGAGACAGTTTCACTCCGGTTTAAACATCACAGTTGTTTTTTCTTTTACTGGATATTTTTGAAGAACTGAACAGATTCATGTGGATCATCTATAAACAAATGGCTACTTAGAAAATATTAAGTCCGGAAACAACCAAAAATATGAGAGGGGCTGCAGACCTGCAAAATGTGGACTCCTGCACGGTCAGGAACGGAAGTTTATTGCAGATGTTTTATTTGAAGCCTTCAGGAATAGCATGTATCATGTATGTGCAGATGGAAT